ATAGTTCTTGCGAATATCTTTGTAAAGATTCTCGTGAAAGTTTTTGTGAAAGTCCTTGTGACGCTTGTAGAGCTTGTGAAAGTTCTTGCGAAAGTTCTTGTGGAAGTTCTTGTGAAAATTTTCATGGAAAGTCTTGTAAAGGACCTTGTGGAATTTCTTGTGAAGGTGGTTTAGGAGCAATTGAACGAAAGGGGACTCTTGAGTTAGACATTGTAAAGGTTATAACTTCAGCAAAAATTTTAGTTAGACGTGAAGACGTATCTGTTGTAATAAAATCATCAGAGGTGAACACCAATTTTTATAGATCGGATTGATTGATCACTGATAGTTTTTTTAGCCAATAATTTAGGGGCAAAATTTCCGATCCAAACAATCCGATCTAGAACTGAACAGGGCTACTATATATGAGAATTAATTGTCGCTAGGGATGGGAACGATCTGATCCAGACCAAAAGACCATTAGTCCAGTCATAGAACCGGTCTTATATCAATCTTTTTTAGGACGGATCGACAGGATTGATCATAGGATCGGGATCTTTTTAACGGTCTTATAAAAGATGGTCTTATCGTCTTATCGATCGATCGCCTTAACCTTTTATTGATAAACGTGTTTTATGTGTTACTTTTTAAATTATATAAATGATAAACTACGCTAAGTGTAACAAATTTTGAATTTACAATCATACGCTGAATACAATCAAAAAATGTCATCTGATAATATTAGCGAAGCTGATTCTTTTCTTTCCTTAGCTTCCATCCATTCTCAACCTTCAAACAACAAAATTAAAGCGGCTTCTGATGTTTGGGACTATTTTCAAAAAATAGTTGATGAAAATAATGTTCTAAAATCAAATAAATGCAAATTATGTCATGCAACTTTTGTTGCTTCTTGTGCTACTTCTACTTTACGTCGCCATTTACAAAAAAAATATACTATAACTTATACTTCTAACACTTCTAACAAACAAATAAAACTCACTTCATATCGGTTCAGACCTTATACCAAACATGAACAAGCACACATTACAACCAATTTAGTTGACTGGATTGCTGTTAATTTACAGCCTTTTAAAGTTGTTGAGCAAGTTGAGTTCAAAAAATTAGTACATTCATTGGATTCTTGTTATGTTATACCATGCAGAAAGACAATAAAGGATGATGTTATCAACAGATTTACTGATTGTAAAAAAGACATTTTTA